AGTGAAAAACTAATATAAAGCATTCCAGTTGATAAAATGAAAAACCTATTAAGTTTTATGGTTTGTTTTCCAAGTAAGTTATGTTTCAACGTAAATTTTGAAATACTCCAAATCTACATTCCATGTAGATTTTAGGCACGATGTTAAAATTTCAAATTTTGCATGCAAGGTTTATCAACGAAACACTGGTAGAATGCCAGTATTTGCAAAATTCTAAGTTTTGGTGAATACCGTAAATAACGCAATTGTTTGGTAATGGAGTCATCATGAATCCAGAATTAGGAGAAAACCCATTTCATAAATATTTCCTCTGATTAAAAATACTAGCCTTGCATGTTCTAAAAAATCTGAGAAAACATCTTAAAAAAAAGGACTGCAATTTAAAAATCTGTATATCTTTAGCTGCCATTAAAAAAAAGAGAGAAAAGAAAAAGAACCAGAAACAATGAAAACATTACAACTGGTATATAGCAACCCCATGGATGCTCCCATGCTCACATTACAAGAGAAACAAAACTGTACACATTTATAAATAAACAGTCCCTGCGCGGTCACACACAGCTTCCTCTAGACCAGAGTCTCTTTCCGTTTGCCACTCGACTGGGCCTTGTCCCGCGCTCTCTGGAAGCTGGGCTGTGTTTGGCGCGCCTTCACGCTCCTGGCGTGTTCTGCCGTCTGCACGCCGGAGCCGCACTCTGCAGCATTCTCATCACCTTCTACCTGAGTGACGCTGGAAACCGTGGACACCCTCCTCTGGGCTCGGAGGTTCCCGGCGGAAGGGCTGTTCTCCTCGCACTCTTCGTGGAGCTCGGGCAGGCCCTGCAGCTCTGGCGGGCTGGCCGCAGGCTGGAAAGGTGCGATGGCGGCTCGGATACAATTGAACCACTGCTGCTTGTGGAACACGTCATTGGCTTGCAGAGTGTGAGACTGGCCTGGAGAGGGGTCTTGGAAGCGAACTCTAAAGATATTTTTAGCTGGAAAAATAAAAATCGGAAAAATGAAATCATACTTATTTTTTAT